AAACAAGACCCTGCACCGACCGGGAAACTCCAGCCGTATACCCCGACAAGTAAGAATATTACTTCTCGTAGGTTTCAAGCCTTTATTAAGGGAGAGTCAGAAATTAAACCGGTACCGGGTATTATGGGGACCCTACTCAAGAGCGCTAATACGGGTCGAGCGTTTCGAGGAGTTAATATTCTCTCCCAGCAGCATTGTTTAAAGGCTCCCTGTTCCCCACAGATGAAGCCTACACAGCTGCAAAGGCTTAGTGGAAGGTTCCAGGCCCAAGAGAAGCCGAATCGGCCTCGGATAAATCCTTCTAACCTTTCTCAGTTGAAAACTGATACTGAAGCTGCATCTTTGAGCGCAGGACCTAGGGATAACATATTCGACGTACCCTACGATCCTATAAGCGATACCATCTACGGATACTCGAAGCAGCAGCAACCACTAGTACTCGAGGTGATCTGCAACGGGCGTCGCCTCCAGACCCTGGTGGACAGTGGTGCGTCCCACTCGGTGTGCGACCGTGGGACGTTGGAGAAAATTGGAGAATCCTAAGCAGAAACCCAGTTTTCAGCAACCATGGTGGACGGTACGAAGCTTCCTATCCACGGCGAAGCATCACTGCAACTGCATATAGGTGCGTTGAGGTGGAAGCCGAGGCTACCACTCACCAACATCAAAGGATAAGATTTTATCTTGGGGCGAGATTTCCTGAAGCGGTTCAACCCCGAGATCGATTGGGTCAACAGCAAGGTGTGCATCTACAACAATGGGAAGCGGATATCACTGCGAAGCTGGACGGATACAGGGGACGTACCTGAAACGACACTAGCACGGTTCGAACTGACGGTAGTTTACGGATGTGCATCGACTACCGCGCACTGAACAAACAGATAGCACTGACTACAGCGCCAGTACTCATCCTACCGGATCCAGACAGAGACTACATGGTGGAAGCAGACGCTAGTGACCAAGCAGTCGGAGCAGTACTGATGCAGCATCACGAGCGCAGTTTGCAGCCCATTGCCTACCTCAGTAAGAAGCTATTACAGTGGAAGAAGGACTTAGCTGTAAGGAAGGGTTCAGGAAAGATTTGGGTACCGAATTACGCCCCGCTACGGCAGATCCTATTGGAGGAGTTTCACGACGTACCTTACGCGGGACATTTCGGGAGCACCAAGACGTTAGCAGGGATAGCGAAGTATTACTACTGGCCCGGGATGGCAGCAGACGTGCAGCACTTCGTCACCTCTTGCGACACGTGCCAGTGGATGAAGAGCAGCAAGCAGAAAAAAGCAGGGTTACTTAAGCCTCTACCCATACCGGAGCAGCCATGGCAGGTCGTTAGCCTCGACTTCATCACCGGACACCCTTCGACCTCACAGGGGCACGATTCCATCCTCGTAGTCATCGATAAGTTCTCCAAAATGGGTCACTTCATACCGACCAACGCCACAGCTACAGCTGAAGCAACTGCTCGACTCTTCTTCGACCGCATCATCACCATCCACGGCATCCCCGCTACACTCATCTCAGACAGAGACCCCAAATTCACCTGTAAGTTCTGGAAGGAGCTCATGGGACTGTTGGGGACAAAACTTGCAATGTCTTCAGCATACCACCCCCAGACTTACGGACAGACAAAGCGACTCAATCAAGTGGTTGAACAGTTACTGCGCACAGCTTGCAAGGACGACGTCAGCCACTGGGACACACAGTTACCGACCCTAGAGTTTGCTTACAACAACGCATCACATGCGGCCACAGGAAAAACTCCTTTCTTCCTGTGTTACGGACGGGAACCACTCACACCACATGAGCCAACTACACCGGCACACGTCCAAGCCGCACATGACTTCGTCACCACCATGCAGCAGCTATGGGAGAAGACTCAGCGACGTCTCACCACGATGCAGAACTCCCAGAAGCAGTATGCCGATCGTCAGCGACGTGATCACTCAGTAGCAGTCGGAGATCAGGTGCTTCTTGACACGCGCAACTTGAACCTGTCTCACCTCCCATCCAAACTCCGGCCTCGCTTCTGTGGTCCTTTTCTCGTTGAGGCACAGGTGACACCAGTTACATTCCGCTTGCGCTTACCAGATACATGGAAGCTTCACAACGCTTTCCATGTCCAGCTACTGAAGCCCTACAAGGACCCCAACCAACAGTTCCAGGGACGGCAACTACCGCCACCACCACCTGTTCTCATACAGGATGAACCTGAGTACGAGATCGAGCGCGTTCTCACCCATCGGCGCCGCGGTGGCAAGACCCTCCAGTTCCTGATACGCTAGAAGGGATACGACCCCACTGAGGACAGTCGGGTTGCAGAAGCTGATATGGGCAACGCACGCCGTGCTCTCAAGGACTATCTTGTCAAGCTGGGTGTATCTCACGCCACCCAGCTTTGAGGGGGGGACGTGTGAGAGTACGACGGCTTATGCCAGCTATGCTTGCTTGCCTTTACTTTATCATGCTATTTCTAGCATAGGATAATTATATGCATGCATGAATTGCTTGATTTCCTAGGCTAGGTGCTTTCCTATATTTTATTATAGTTATAGCACCGAGCTAAGTCCGTGCACCGAATTCTTGCTTTTCGGTTGCCACCGAATTGCCTTCTACCGAATTCGGTAAGGATCTGTTCAGGACGCTTCGCGACCCGCGGAACCTTCGCGTAACACCTGGTTACGGGGCCTTGTGTCGAGCCTATATATAGCCTCGTGTTGTACCCAGGTGATCATTCAATTCAATTTGAATCATCTTTTCTGAGCTCGATCCCAGATCCTCACAGATCACAAGAGCAAGGCCATAAGGCCAGTTCACATGCAAGATTATATATATATAGGTAAACAAGCAAGTGCAGATATAAAAAGATCACAGTACAAGCAAGGTCAAGAAGTGAGCAAGTGAGGCCAACTAGGCACAAGACCTAGCAACGTACAAAAGCGCTGATGATCACAAGGCGGAAGTGCCTTGGTAAAGATATAAGCAGTGCTGGCCTTAGAGGCCACGTAAGCAAGGCGCAGCTGACCACGCTGCTGCAGCTGAAGAGCAAGGAAGTAGCGAAGAGCAATGTGCTTCGTTCTGTGTTCCAGTCTGTGCTCCCGAGACAAGGCCATCATGGACTTGTTGTGTACATACAGAATTGGAGGAGAACGAGGCGCCTCTCCTAGGTAAGTCAGCAGGTAGGTGAGCCAGCGTAGCTCCTGTGCAGCCATGGCCCCCGCGTAGATCTCAGCCTCACAGCTGGAGTCGAGAACAGAAGACGAGCGGGTAGACCGCCACGAAACAGAGCCGGAACCAAGGCTGAAGGTGTAACCCTCTGACGACCACCGCGTAGCCTGGTCGTCAGCCCAAGAAGCGTCTGCGTGGCCTGTGAGGACCACTGAATGCCGCCCTCCAAGCACTAGCCCCATGCTCGTCGTACTGCACACGTAGAGCAACACCCTCTTCGCTGCAGCCATGTGCTCTGGTCGGTGTCTCCCAGGAGCAACATAGCGTGCCAAGATGCTAAGAGGGTATGCAAGGTTAGGTCGTGTGCAGGTCATCAAGTACATGAGGCAGCCAACAAGCTCTGGGTACGGGCCACTCGGCTCTACGGACTCATCCAAAGGCAGAGCTGAGAGCGAGTGACGAGTAGACAGAGGAGTGGCCTTGGGCGAGGAGTATGTGAAGTCGAAGTGCTGAAGGACCTGCTGCACCATGTGTGACTGAGTCATGGTAATGGTGCGCTGTGCTTTGTTCCGGGTGATCTGCAAGCCAAGGTAGCTGCGCAGTTCACCCACGTATGTGCACGTGTGTCTCTTCTGCAGCTCGGACTTCACGTGGGCTAGTCCAGCAGTATCAGTAGTGGCAAAGAGGTGTCGGTGCGCAGAAACATCGACGGGTCGGTAGTAGAACGAGCAAACCCAAGAGTCGCCAGTGTAGTCCTCAGTGTGTCGTGCCACTCACGGAGCGCCTGGCGGAGACCGTAGACTGGCCGCCGGAGGCTCCACTGGGTACCAGGGGAAAACGACCCAGTGAAGCCAGGTGGGCGGCGCAGCCAGATCTCCTCGTGCTGGCTGCCCTGCAGGAAAGTTGTGCTGAAGTCAAGAGAGTGAAGCTCGTAGTCGCGCTGAGCGGCTATGTGCAGCAGCACCCAAAGAGTGGTCATCTTCGGGGTGGGAGAGAAGGTCTGAAAGTAGTCAACTCCCTGTCGCTGACTGAAGCCTCGAGCCACCTAACGCGCCTTGAAGACAGGCGGAGAACCCGGCGGCCGCTTCACCCTGAAAATCCACATGCCACTGATGTTGTTCGCCCCAGGTGGGGGAACCTCGTCGACGTAGGTGCCTGTGGACTTCCAAGAAGCCATCTCTGCGTCCATGGCTGACTGCCATTGAGAGGAGTAGGGACCCTCGATCGCCTCAGCGTACGATCGAGGAGTCGGGATGTCTGGTGCATCCGGGTCTCCCTCAGGGGCAATCAGCGTGTACACGAGATGAGGCAAAGCAGCAGCAAAGCACTGGAACTCCTCCTGCCTGTCCTCAAAGACGTCCGTGCTAAGAGCACACTCACCTCCGACGGACGGAGGACAGACAGACTCAGACTCAGCAACAAGACTAGCAGCGTAGTCTAGACGACAGCGAGCAGCAAAGTCGACAAGCTCAGCAACTAGGGCCGGCGCAGCAGTGGACTCAAAGGAAGGGTCTGTGACAACAGTAGCCAGGAGATGCGTGACAGTAGGACAGGAAGAGAGGACTTAGGAGGAGACGGCAACGGGACACGCAGAGGAGCAATGGAAGGACGTAGTGCCATTTGGTGTGTGCCTCACGGATCTGGTGACGCCACGCGTCCGTCAGGCGGCCGAAGTAGCGTTGGGTGGAGTGCGGGCCCCCGCACTGCTCACCAGCGCGGTCGCCGGTACAGAGGACGTAAGTGCAGGGACCAGTACCCCCACCGCGCTGACGCGCAGCGTACCACTAACGAAGCTGCTAAGGGGACAGGGTCTCACGACTGCGCTGCTGCTGCTAGCGCGGACCACCACCAGACCCACTCGTCTGCGCAGAGTCGCGACCAGCTTGACCGACGCCGCCGACGCCGCCTCCGCCGCCTCCGCCACCACCGTCGCCTCCTCCTCCACCACCGCTGCCACCGCCGCCGCCACCCCCGCCACCACTCCCACCACCACCCCCACCCCCGCCACTGCCTCCACCACCACCTCCACCACCCCCGCCAGCCCCTCCGGCTCCCTTGCCCCCCTTGCCCTTGCCGGTGCGGTGTCTCCCGCTATGGGCAGACGTAGCGCCGACCGCGTAGAAACCAACGAGGTCGGCACTAGCAGAAGAAGCAGCAGAGGGCAAAAGGGCGGAGGGGGAACACCCCTCAAAGACGGCGGTGCGAGGGTCACCACAAAAGGCTCCTACAGCGACTATGCTCTTCTCTGCTGCTAGGAGGCGCTCCTCGAGGAGGTCAACGGTGAGTGTGGTGGGGCAAACTGAGAGGAAGTGGTCCCTGACTAAGCGAAGAGAGTCAGGGAGCCGGGTGACTATGTAGTAGAGGGTGATGTACATGGGGGGGGGGGTTCTTGGCGCAGAACTTAGCAGGAAGCGCAGCGCGGTAGCGAGTGTCACTAGTGCGGAGGTGCGTAATGAGGTCAGCGACTGTGGGAAAGGCAGCAAGGTCAGAGAAGAGGTACGGTAGCATGAGGCGGCTCAGTGCAGCAGTGGCAGGGGAAGAGTAGCGTGCAACTACAGCGTCGTACAAGGTCTGAGCACTCTTGTAATGGCTAAAGTGCGCACACTCAGTGGTTGGTAAGTGGCGACGCACAGCAAGACGGGCAGCAGCATCGCGTGTCGCCCACTGTGAGCGAACAGTGCTGTCAGCAGTAGCAGGCGGGGCAGGGGAGGCACTAGAGGTAAGGTCAAACAGGGAGAGGCCATCTGCCCTATCACACTGGAGGAACAGCTGGAGGTCATATACCCAAACCTCAAAGTCAACTGCACGACCCTCAGCATCAAAGGTATGAACACTGGGGGTAGCCATGACTGCAGTGGCTTTAAGGAGTGAGCTCATCAGTCTGAGTAAGTTGGGCTGGGGCGCGCCGGTAGGACTAGTAGCGGCTCGACGGCAGGGCGGCTCGGCGGCTCAGCGGCCTAGCTTCTAGGCGGCTCGGCTGTCGGGCAACTCGGCTGCTGGGCGGCTCGGCGGCTCCGCTGCTGGGCGGCTCGGCGGCTCAGCTGCTGGGCGGCTCGGCGGCGCGGTTGCTGGGCGGCTCGACGACTCAGCTGCTCGGCTGCTGGGCGGCTCGCCGGCTCTGCTGTTGGGCGGCTCAGCTGCTGGGCTGCTCGGTAGAGGCGGCGTTGGGGCCGCTAGGGGCGGCGACGGGACCGCGTAGGGAGGGGAGCGGCGACGAGGCCGTGTAGTGGCGGCGACGGGGGCGCGTAGGAAGGGGGGGGCGGCGACGGGGCCGCTAGGGGCGGCGACAGGGCCGCGTAGAGGCGGCGATAGGGCCGCGTAGGGGCGGCAACGGGGCTGCGTAGGGGCGGCGTCGGGGCCGCTTAGGGGCGGTAGCAGGGCCGCTTAGAGGCGACGACGGGGCCGCGTAGGGTGAGAGGCGGCAACGGGGCCGCTAGGGGCGACGACGGGGCCGCTAGGGGCGGCAACGGGGCCGCGTAGGGGCGGCGACAAGGCCGATAGTGTCAGTAGATCTGCACTGTGGATGCCCGATTGATCCTGGAGAGGGTTACAGGCGCGTTCGCCTGGGGGGTTATGGGCGCACTGACCCGCTACTGAAACAAGCCCTTTTATCCCAATTGTCTAGTGGTTGGGATTCTGTCATGGTATCGAGCAGGTTCCATGGTTGGAACTGTTCCTAGGGCCCTACTACTACTTCCGCTGCTACTCGATCTGTTGCACGCCCCGTGGCGTGCGACCTATTTTCATTGCGCGCGGCGATTTTCTTTCTGGCGCGCGCCCCGAGGCGCGCGGCCCCGCTACCCCGCCGCGCTGCCCTAGCTGCCGCGTCGCGCCGCCCTCGCGGCCCCGATCCGCCGCCCTAGTGGCCTCGTCACCTACCCCTGCGGCCTTAGCGCCGCCCTTCCCGGCCCCGGCTCCGCCCTTCCCGGCCCCGGCTCCGCCCTTCCCGGCCCCGGCGCCACCTCGGCTGGCCCCGTCGCCTACCCCGGCGACCCCGACGCCGCTCTTCCCGACCCGGCCCCGCCTCTGCTGGCCCCGTCGGCTACCCTTGCGGCCCCGGCGCTGCCCTTCCCGGCCCCGGCGCCACCTCTGTTGGCCCCGACGCCGCCCTTCCCGGCCCCGACGCCGCCCTTCCCGGCCCCGTCGCATACCTCCCCGGCCCCGGCGCCGCCTTTCTCAGCCCCGGCGCCGCCTCTGCTGGCCCGGTCGCCTACCCTGCAGCCCCGGCGCCGCCTCTGCTGGCCCTGTTGCCGCTCCACCCGGCCCCGCCGCCGTCCCCAAGCGGCCCCGCCGTCACTACCGAGCCGCCGGCGCCGCCGAGCTAGTGCCGAGCCACCCGAGCCACCCGAGCAGCCCGAGCCGCATCGCCACCTCAGCCGCCCGAGCCGCCGGGTCGCGGAGCAGCCGAGCTGCAGTTGCTGCCGAGCCGCCGTACCGCTAAGCCGCCCGAGCCGCCGAGCCGCCGAGCTGCCCGAGTCGCCCGAGCCGCCGAGCCGCCCGAGTCGCCCGAGCCGCAGTTACTGCAGTGCCGCCGTGCCGCCGAGCCGCCCGCACCGCCGAGTCGCCGAGTTGTCGAGCCTGCTCTTCCCACCACTGGTGAGCCCCTGCCTTACTAGCGCATTGCCTGCCGCTTGCTTGGCTGCTTGCCTTACTGCTGCTACTCCTGCTCCTCCTTCTACTTGCGGAGCCAGATGCAGCCCCAGCGACGTCCGCGTGAGTCCCTCACGCCCCAGCAGCTGCGTGAGTGGTACGCTGGTTGGGGCTGTAGGGGTGGCGGCGCTACTACTGCTACTACTACTGGCGGCGGCTAGATGCAGCTCCAGCGACGCCCACGAGCGTCTCTCACGCCCCAGCAGCTTCGTGAGTGGTACGCTCAGAGTAGAGGGTCTCTCAGTTCTGTTCGCTGCTCTTACGGGATTCGCACTAGTACTCGAACTGGTCAGCCTTGTGGGACGCCTAGTCACACACAGTCCCGCTGCTTCGCCCGTCTGAGCGACGCCTGGCGTACCGAGTTTGGCGACGAGGCTGAGCTCCCCGACTGGGTGGAGTTGCTTAGGCAGAAGGTAGATATATTTGCTCTTGACTATGATGCTATTCTCACTGCCATGTATGCATTGCCTACTAGTGCTGACTGTGCCGGTCACCTGTGCGTACCGCCTGCTCCAGGTACAGGTGCGGCTGCTGCTCTAGGTGCTAGTGCGTCTGCTTCCTCAGGTGCGGGTGAGTCTGCTCTCTCAGGTACCGCATCGGCTCCGGCCTCTCACACCTTCACCCTTGTCTCGGGGGCTTCCCGCTCCTTCTTTCGAGACCGCACCACACTCACGCCGCTTGGTCGGCCAGTTGCAGTCTCTCTGGCAGACCCCTCTGGGGGCCCTGTCCTTGCTCACTTCTCCTCTGTCCTCCCGTGTCCGGCGGCCCCCTCTGGCACCCTGTCTGGTCTTTACCTCCCCTTGTTCTCTACGAACTTGGTTAGTGGTGCTGACCTGCAGGATGCGGGGGTTCACCAGTTCACTCCTGCGAGTCAGCGGGTGACCCACTGCACGGACGCTCCGACAGGCCGACACCTGGCCACGTTTACTCTTCAGCCGAGGTCGAGCCTGTACACACTTACCACTGCGTCTCCTCCAGTCAATGCGTCTGGTCAGGTAGCTGCATGAGGTCAGGTGTTTGCTGCAGCGTCCAGGTCTGGTCCTGTGTGTGCCCCCTCCTCGTGTCACCTCCTGTCTCACGAGACTCTCCTCTGGCACCACCGCCTTGGTCACCCCTCCCTGCTTCGTCTCCGAGGCATGGCCTCCCGTGTCCTTGTCTCTGGTCTTCCCCGGTCCCTCTGTCCCCTTCCTCCTGGGCCTGGCCCTTCCTACGTCCCCTCTGTTGAGGGGCGGCAGCGGGCTGCCCCTCACTCCTCTCAGTTTCCTCCGACAGAGGCCCCGCTGCAGACGCTTCACATGGACGTGTGGGGCCCGGCCCGCGTCCGTGGACAGGGTCACGAGCGCTACTTCCTGCTAAAGGTTGACGACTACTCGCGTTACACCACAGTCTTCCCCTTGCGCAGCAAGGGTGATGTCAATGAGGTGTTGATTGACTGGATCCGCGCAGCTCGTCTCCAGCTCAGGCGGAGCTTCTGCTTGGACTTTCCTGTTCTGCGTCTGCACTCTGACAGAGGCGGAGAGTTCTCCTCTGGCCTTCTGCGAGCCTACTTTCGTGCACAAGGCATCCACCAGACCTTCACGCTTCCGGACTCTCCACAGCAAAATGGGATTGCTGAGCGCCGCATTGGCATGGTCATGGACGTCGCCCGCACGTCCATGATGCATGCGGGTGGCCCCCATTTTCTGTGGCCGTTTGCGGTCCGGTACGCGGCGCATCAGATCAACCTTCAGCCCAAGGTCTCCAGGCCGGAGACCTCCCCAGCCTTGCTGTGGACGGGGAAGGTTGGCGATGCGTCTGCGTTCCGTGTCTGGGGATCTTGGGCGTTTGTTCGCGACTTGTCTGCGGACAAGCTGTCCCCTCGTGCTGCTCCTTGTGTCTTCCTGGGTTTCCCCCCTGACGCGCAAGGGTAGCAGTTCTACCACCCCACCTCTCGCCGTGTTCTGTCCTCCCAGGACGTCAAATTCGACGAGTCGGTCCCCTACTACCGTCTCTTCCCCTACCGCACTCCGTCCCTCCCCCCGCCTCTGCTCTTCCTTGTGCCAGGTCCCCCCCCGGTAGACCCCCTCCCACCTCAGGGTCCTGCCCCTTTAGGTGTGTCCAAGGTAGACGCTGTCGAACCTGTCGAGGTTGCTGGTGACTCTGGTGCTGCTGAGGGTGCTGAGCTTGGGGGTGCTGACTCTGGGGGTGCTGACTTTGGGGGTGCTGAGCGTGTGGGTGCTACGCCTGGGGGTGCTGAGCCTGAGGGTATGACTGGGGGTGCTGAGCTTGGGGGTGTTGAGTCTGGGGGTGCTGAGCCTGGGGGTGCTACGCGTGGGGGTGCTGAGCCTGGGGGTACTGAGCCTGCGGGTGCTACGCCTGGAGGTGCTGAGCCTGAGGGAGCTCGGCCTGCTCGTGGGGCGTCTGGCGGTGCTGAGCCTGGCAGTTCTCCGGGTGCATCGTCTCGCCGGGAGCCACTCTCTCCACAGGAGCTGCGTGAGTGGTTTGCCTGGCGCGGGAGGCGAGCTGCTGGAGCTGGAGGTGCTGCGGGTACTGGAGGTTCTGCTACTGCTGTGGGTACTGGTGCCGCGGGTCCCGGAGATGCTCGTACTCGGAGTACAAGAGCTGCTGGGCCTGCGGGTACTTCTGGAGCAGGAGCTGCTTTGGGTGTTGGCGCGGAGGCTACTGCTGTCGGTCCTGAAGGCGGTCCTGCTGAGGGTGCTCCTGGTGCTGCTGGACGTACTGGAGCTGGAGGTGCTGCTGGTGTTGGTGCTGCCGCTGGGGTACTAGTGCTGTCCCTACTGTGTCTAGAGTCGCCGCGCGGCCTCGGCCGTACTTCGTTCCGCTCCTTCAGCAGGTTCTTGGTCTCCCGCCTTCTACTGGTCCTTCTCCTCCCTAAGAGTGTCCACAGCCTGTCCTGTCACAGTTACGGTTACAGCCGGCCTCCCCACTGCCTGCTCCGTCTCCCTACACTGGTCCCACTGGAGGTCTTGCTGAGCGTCGTGAGCCTGCGTCTCGCCCTGCGTCGCCTGTCCGTACTGCTCGCGCTAGTGGTCTTGGTTCGCGTCAGCGTCCGCCTCCTGTCCCTGGCACGCACCGGATGTCTCTGCGTCCGTCCACTGCTCCTCTGCGTGCCCCTTTGCCTACTCCTCCTGAGTCTTTTCTTCCTGCTCTTGCCGACCCGGAGTCGGACTCTCTTCGTGCTGCCAGTCCTACTGTCA